ATCTAATTGCAGATCTCTCATATGATTGAATTCTACGTGCACATCTCACTAAATATGTACGATTTATTTCGTTGCGTGAACTCTCTCATTTTTACTATGTTTGAAAAATGCAAAAGATGATGTGCATGTTGAAAGGCTGTCACTCATATCGCTTGGTTACGAAATGAAGCGAGAAGTGGACCGTAATTCGATAAAGGCCCATATTAATTCGCATTGATTATGGCAAATTTTAGAAGCGTGGCAGAGGAGAATCAAAAATACGTTAAACTATTATGAGAACGAAACGTGCGTTCGATTCGTTGAGAGATCGGATGCAACCGATTTTATTTATTTTCTCAAAGGCAAAGGGTCAGTTTTTATTGTGTCTCAATTACACCGCGATCAAACTGATCAATTTTCTTTATTTAGTGCCATCAACGGGTGTACAGAGAACAAGCCATTCGTATCATTGAAAATGAATAATATTCATTTGCGGTAAAAACAGTTCATTTCAGATGTTTTTCTGCAGTTGGAAAGCTCGGAGGAAGTCAACCGCTTTCCGTTGGTTTGGGTTGTGAATCCGTTAGTGAACTTCTGCTTGCGATCATCATCGATTGTTTCGCATTCAAATTTCATCAATATTTTGGACACTGAACTTTGTAGTTATAAGTCATAATGAACAGTAAAAATCAGTACAGCAAAGAGATACTGTGCCAAATACCGTCTGCAACATTTCGTCGGAGAAGGAGGCAAAAAAAGAGAGCGATTGTTTATTATTCGAGTCACGTTATTATTTCGAGCACAACTCAGAAACTGCGCTCGTTTTCAGTTGGGTGTAATCTCGCATGAAATCGGTCATGCTCTCGGCTTTGTTCACGAGCAAGAGCGACCAGAAAGAGATTCTTATGTGCGCATCAACCTTCAGTATGCAATTCCTGGAACCGAAGGCAATTTCGATAAAAGACCTCTTGGGACTACAGTTGACCTCGGTGTGCCGTACGATCTCGGCTCTGTCATGCATTACGCATCTACCGTAAGATCAACTTTTAGCAAATTCATTCTGAATATCTCTTCATTGATTATACCATATGTAATAAACTGACTTCATTCATCTCGTTATAAGTGACTTTTTGATCTGTTTGCTTATTACTAAAAATTTATTGTCACATGGGAGTGCTGGCAATCACTCACAATGATCGCAACAGATATTGTAAATTCAATTATAATAGGTTGATGAGAATCACTTTATCGGTGCTAATTCTTTGAAGGCATTTACGTTTGAAAGCCTGAGGCACACGGTCGATCCAATCGATACAAAATATAGATCTACAGTTGGAAATCGTGTGGCGCCGTCATTCACAGACATTAAACAAATAAATCGTGCCTATTGCGCCGGTCTGTTAAGTATTCATCATTCTCTCAAGACTTCAATCGCTGTTTTCAAATGGATTCAGATGAAATTCGTTGAAAGCAATTCGGTTCTCGCAACAATTAACAGAGCTACTAGCGTAAAAACATCTCAAGACTATGAAATATTACGAAATTTCACCTAGCCAGGCCAGGATCCTCATGATTGACAACGTTTTTTGATGTTAAAGTGTGAGGAGTATCAAAGTTGTTTGGAAATAAACGCAGACACGAATGAGTTTGAATAAATTAATTGATCATTCTCATGGTCATGGATAAACAACCCATTCTCCTGGCTAGTATCTATTTTGCAACCTAACTGAGGAAACTATTTGTTCCATACTGATGAGCTGTACGGATTGTTGCTTTTGAAGTGTGGTAAGTAGCGCAATAAATTTCATTTTTCATAACCTTTAAAAGGTGACTATTGAAATATTCAGATTCATGTAGAAACACAATAAATATATGCGAAAATGAAGGATATCCAGATCCAAACGATTGTAGCAGGTGCAAGTGCCCTCAAGGTCTCGGTGGTGCAACTTGCACTGATCTCGAATATTCCAGTAAGCTTTCTCGCCATTTTGAAGTGTTATCGTCGTTTTTGATCAACGCTACAGCCAACTGAATCTAAGAAAATCATGCCAATGTTTAAAACTTCTTTAGTTGCATCAAACTGCGATTTCAAAAGAACTTACTTACATAAGGCAATCTGTGAAATTACGAGCATGTACGCAGAAAAAGGTGAATGATCGATTCGAATGATGCTCCCGCATAGGCTCAGGATTAGGCCATAAATTTTCTAGGTTGCCTTTTACTTACTTGAGAATATCCCATTTTGTCCCAAACCATGCAACCATAATAACTGAGAAAGACATAGGCTGTGGAGGTGAGATACAAGCGGATTACGAATGGCAGTCTCTGAATTATTCGGTGTCTAGCACTTGCTATTGGCGTATTTCAGCGGTATGTTCCAAGTTTCACCACTCGAGATGATGTTTGAGATATGTTTTAAGTTCATTAAAGAGTGATTGGTGATTATAATATGAGTGTTAAAGAGGCGAAAAAAAAAACAAACAAAATGACGTCTGAACAGACTTTGTTGTTTGAATGAGTGAACAGATTTATACGAGTGACAGTTCAAAGTGAATGTTCATGATTAATCATCATGCATGTTCATGAAGAAATGAAGTTGATCGCGATGAAGAAATCGTATTAAATAATTCTCTCATGACACTGAAATGATTTCAGTATCCCGGCGGTCACGTTCGCTTCAAAGTGACTGATGTGTTTTTCAAGTGTTCACCAACATGCAGCGAATTCATTGAAATCAAATATTTAGCCGATATGCAAGTGACCGGATTTAGGCTTTGTTGTTATCCAGAGGGTGGTGTGCTTGTGTCGCACGGTCCTTTTATTTTGTTGATCGTTAGGGCCGTGGCTCCGTCTCGTTTCGCTATTAAGTACATGAGTGGTGGGTGAAATGCCAGTAAAGAATTTGTTTTTTTTTTTGATCGCTTTTTTCCAGTATTCTATTGAAAGTTCAGTGCATGTCAACAATGAATTTCGTGCGGAGAACTACCATTTGGATAGAAGATTGTTTGATTCAGATGGTGGTATAAAGCCATCAGATGCACAAGATGTTTGGAGTGAATGGGGCGAATGGAGTGAATGCAGTGAGATGTGTGGTGCTTGTGGCTTTAAACGGAGACATCGTAACTGTTTGGAAGGAACGTGCAAGTTAGTTTCGCGTTTTGCTAAAGAGCAAATTTCGAAAGCGTTCAGGCTCAGAACTGATAAGCAGCAATTCAGTTGCACGATTCCAAATTGGAATCATTCACGTTGTTGATGAATTCATATTAAATGATGAGGAGCCACAAGAATCATGAAGTATCGAAATCACGAAGTATTTCATTTTGAGGTATCGAATTCAACCTCAATCACAACGGTGCAATATGAATGCATGCATGCCTGGAGCTACTCTCAGTCGTTACCGAAACGGCCGTAAGAGTAAGCTTTAAGGCCCTTCAATTTTTACCTCATTTTCCAAAGTACTCATCATCGTTCGTTAAAAAAACATTTTGCTGAGCACACCTGCATTTCGGATCTCTTTACAGAAAAATATAACATCAAATTTGACAGCTGAGTGGACAATAATAATAAGTACTTGAAGAAAATATTGAAACTCAGTGCGTTCCAACGATACTAGGCAGTTGAACGTGCACTTGAAGTGATTAGGTGAATCGATTGTGAGAACATTCCAATTTCATTTGCAGTACGAAGAAGGTTACGCAGGATGTCGTCAACTCACGAATGGTGTTGTGAGCGGTTCATCGCTCGTAACGGTCGATGTTATCCAGTTGGGTGATCTTGTTGTGCAATTTGTTATGATCACTTTAGCAGAGTTGAATGTTTCATTTTGATTGCAAAATTTAATAAACAAATGCTCATGAACAAGTCACGCTCACAAAGTAACATTCCCATCGATACAGAACGCTCGGATGAAGCAAAATGGTCCTCTATCAAGTCAAGAAAAAACAGCCAAAACGACTACCGAAAACAGATGTAATCGACTAAATACTACCTAATTGATGACTTCGACGCTATCTCAGTGCGTTTGACAAGAGAGTACGAATTTTCTTTGATGATACAGAAATGTGGTGATTCATTTTGTGAATCTCAATGGTTCACACTGATTTTGATGATTCAACAACATGTCCATCATTAATCACATCATGAATAGATGTACAGTGAGATGAATTTCGCATTGTCAATTCGGTGTAACCCAATGAAATAACTCTACAATCGCACAATAAACCGAACTAACCATAGCCTTTGTTGATCAGTTCGTAGGCATCATGCATCTTTAGAAATTGAACGTTTTGCATAGCCGAATGAATGTGACTAATGTATTGTGCGATGAGGTTAGTTGATGTGCTGATTCATCGGAAAGGCTCATGCGCATAAAGTTATCGTGATGAGGATGATGTTGAGGGTGGAGCGATGTTGTCAATCGATGAAAATGTGATCACAATCACGTCGCACATCATACATCGTACCATACAAGGACAAACACCAATTGTATGATGACTAATACTGAATTGTGAGCACATGCACGACCGGTGCTTTTGCGAGTGAAATGTTATATTCATATCGAGTTTGTTGTATATTCAATGTTGTTTTATATTTACATTATTCTATTGATCATGCTGATGCAGAACTTTGGACAGAAGAGGATGAAGCTAAACGAATTCAACAGGTTCATGTCATACAATTTTCATATTATACAAGCTAAGATTGAATCTTAGAATATACTATCGTCGGTATTTCATATGTTTAAATGTTGCCATTCATTCATTCCTTCTGTTTCTTCTGCCGATTAAACTCGTTTTATCGGTTATTCATAATGACGAGGACTGACACTGCTCAATTTCATCATATTTTTGGTTTTTAGCACTTTATGATGGTCTTCTCCACTTAATGTTTTCAACGAGTACTTACATGGAATTTTTTCAGTGCTTGCCACATTTGACTAACGAGAAAACTGTTTGAGTTCGCTCATTTTTCATCTGAAAGTATTGTTTACAGTATATAGTCAGTAAACAACAATAACAAAAGTAATTCATTAAGTTAAAAGAGGCAGAACGACTGGAATTCCAACGAGAACAACAGCTGCAAACTAATCAGCGGTATGGCGTCGAAAGACCTTTACCAATGCAGACGTTCGTCTCATCGTATTCGGAAGGTGTTGATGCTGGCAGAGGCCAACCATCCATACACCACCACGTACGGCATTCATCGAAACGTGTCCGGTTGGCTGCTCAGAATTCAGGTACCGAAATGTTTTCTGATGGTTCGCATTCAATGAACTCGTTTTATTCGATTGTGCATTTGGTTTATTCATGTTACGCATCAAGGGTCGTTATTGAAAGTTTGCGCATTCTTTGACTTTGAGCACTTGACTATCTCGATGCCTTGGTGAAATATATCGTATTTTAAAACTTACATGATTTTCTGTCATTGAATCATTCGGTATTGAGAATAAGGTTTATGAGGTTTGATATTAAAGTAGGTCTACACATAAGCATAGAAATGATTGTTTCTTGAGAAGTTAGGAAGCTCTTTGGACCTAACTGCCGATATAATCGAATGACATAAGGAAGAACAGCTTGAACGCATCAGTGATTATCGGTCATATTGTCGTCTTGTTGTATGAAAGCAGTTAGCAAAATAGTGCATCATTCTTCGCGTATTAATTCCACGTCGGTTGAAGTTCACAATATAGAGAAGACAGCAACTGGAAACAATGAAAAAACAGTGCATCATAGACAACTGCAAATTCGAGTACATACTCCGTTATGAGAATAATTTCAAATGTTCTCAAATTTTCAGTTAACTTATTCGTATTATTTTTCATG